CTGCCTCTGTGTGTGTGTGTGTGTGTGTGTGTGTGTGTGTGTAAGGGCCGGAATACGCATTCATGCTGCCTCTCACCCACACTCTCAGGAGGGGTGTAACCCTCCCCCTCGGAAGTCTGCATTGAGCAGCTTAGGATTCCTTGAAACAAGGAATTTAAGGAATTTCCTTTTAAAATGATCTAAAAAGGTTGTTTTCAACCCCAAGGAATCACGGGGGTGTTCACTGCTGTGTTAAAAGCCCCACCAGGAGGGGTTGGGGACGGTTGAAACCGGCCCTGCGGCCAGCCGGCCGGGTGCTGCTGGCGCGTGGGAGGGCGACATTCGTCCAACACCCGTGCGTTCGGGGTGTGGGCTCTCCCAGGGCTCTCCTCACGCTGCTTGTGTCCCGTCGGAAAACGGGGGAAAGCCTGCGTGGGGGGTGTCCCTGGGACGAGTGTTACATGCACCGATGGCCAGGGTGGGAGTGTAGCAGCAGGGTCGGTCTGGGCAGGGTGCCGGAAGGGAAGTCCGCCAGGAGGGTCACCTTGAGAAGTGACGCGATGGTTTAGCGAGTCGCTCGTGTAAACAGACGTGGCTGGTGTGATAGGAGGTACACTTCCCTGCCCGGATGCCAGGAAAGGCCCAGCTGGCTTGGCCCCGAGCCCGTTTGAGAGAGGGTGTAGGAGGCCGTTTGAATTCCATTTTGCTCGCAGGAGATAAGACCGAGCAAACCAGAGATTAAGGACTTGGGGGAAATGGCAAAGAAGACCATCCTAAACCCCTGTGAGGTGCGTGCAGCCAGAGTAAAAAGACACAGGAGAGCCGGGTGAGGTCCTGTGGCAAGGACACGCCCTTCGGAAGGGTAGCTGCGGCCCCGTTTTTTCTCACTCGGACTCTGCTTCTGTGCGTGGAGTTTTCAAAGCAGGAGGCTGGGGCACAGGCAGCAGGGCAGTAGTGCGATTTAAAAAAAATTAAATATGTTTTTCATGCGTTGGGAGAGCAGTGTTTACACTCAGCTATATTGATGAAAACAGCAGTTAGACTTTTGTGCAAACAGCCGAAAATCAGCTGTGACTGCTCCTGGGGCGGCTGCCCGTGAGTGGCGTGCACCATTCAGAGCACCGTCACCGCGGCCTCCCGCAGACACACAGCGGCCCCCCGTGTGCTCGTTAATTGTGGAAATAAGGCAGATAATTTTAAAATAGCATTTGATAAATGGCACAAATAAACTGTATAGAGTAAAAGAAATGTATTTTTTCTAAAGGAACGTATTCTATATCATTAAGATGTCATTGGGAATGGGCAGTTACCAAAGGAAGCTTAAGAAAGGAAGGGATTTGATCAAAGTCGTGTGTTATGATTATTAACCCGTAGGACGTATCAGAAGAGGGAGGGACAGGGAAGAGAAAGACGGATGAAAAGACTGCCTTTCCTCCGACCCACAAACCTGAGTGGTTTCCCAAGAGCCTCCTGAATTATGCACGGCTTGGCACTAAGGCCCTTGCCACGTGGTCATGATATATTTCGGCGTCCTACCCAGCTTCTCCCCTGTAAGAGGCTCTAACGAAATTGGCCTGCTTCCTGTTCCAAAACAAACCAAAAAAGTCATATGCTTACCAACTTCTTGGCTGATGTTACGTTTTCTTCTTTCCCGAAAATGGCCACCCTCTCTCTACCTATTAAATATTCATTCATTCATTTGTGGTTGGAGCTATTTTAAGATTTGGGGATTGACTGGTAAGATGCAAGCTGCTAATTTATATGGAATTAGCTGCACAGAGGGATAGTTACCATTCAGTGTGGTAAGTGCAGTGACAGAGGACAATCTGTTACCGGAGGCGCCCCGGGAAGGTGCACCTTAACCTTCTCTTAGGCGACGGGTGGGAAGGGAAGGCTCCCCGCAGAGGCGATGCCTGTCGGCAGCCTTAGGACGAGTAGTTTCACCGGTTGGGCATAGAACAGGAAAGAAAGTGGGGGGAGTATTTCAGGCTGAGAGAACAGACTTGATTTAGCAAAGGCACTGAACCATAAAGCAGCAAATGGGTTAGGGGAATGCAAGCGATGTGGTGTTCCTAGAACAGGAAGTCTGAAGCTGGGCACTTTCAGCGGAGGGGCTCTTTCCTTGTGGAGGAGCTTGTGCAGAAGCCCCTGCAACAGGAGGCTTGGAACTGCGCTCCGGCTGCAGCGGGGGCTGCTCCCCCAGCGCTTGGGGCCGCTCCCCCAGCGCTTGGGGCCGCTCCCCCAGCACACACATCCCCCATGCCCGACCCGATGGACCCGAGCGTCCTGAGCACGCCAACCACTTCTGCTAGTTAGCATGGCCTCGGTTTCCTCTCCTTTGCTACCTTATTTAATCTGCATGTGCACAGGTCGAAATTGAAATGATTTTCTGTAGCATTCTAAACAAAATGAAGGCAGTTTTGCAGAAACCGTGAGGCATACGTATATAAATGATGTTTTCCAAGTAACCGGACTTCCTTGTGCGTGTCCCTCTCCCGTCGTCACGGACGGCCCGGAACTGTGACCGGGGCTGGGAGTCCGGCTCAGTGTGACTTCGTTGTGAACGCGCCTCAGACACCCGAGAAGCCCATGTACCCCTTCCCCTGCTCCGTGTTCCTCCCCTGACGTGGAGTGAGTTCAAGGGCTTGATGTCTTTTTCCCTGAGGAAAAGTTAGACTCGGGGGCACGGTACAAGGCCAAAGAGGTTAACAAAGATTCCTGCCGTGTTGTAGAACCTGGACGGTGCACGCATTTGAAGAGCAAGTCGGTATAAATAATAAATGTGAACTATGAACTAGTAAACTGAATCGGGACAGTCAGAATGGATAAAATAGCTTTTCTAAAATTGAGTTTCTAAAACTGATTCTCTTTGGCTGTCTACTAAGATTGGTGAGCCCCAGCTTAGTTTGAAAATATTTGAAATATGATCCCTCTAATCTTCAAGTAGATCAATATCTTTTGAAAATATTTTAGGTAAGAAGCAACCTTAGTGTTGTAAAAGTAAAATATTTGTAAGAAATTCATATTTAGAATAAAAGTCAAAACTATTTTCCCGTATATGCCAAGTCAGAGGTAAAATACCCCAACCTATGCAGGATACTTTGAATGAAATCTTTGGCTATATTGTAAGTTACAAAAGAAGGAAACAAAGAGTCTACATGAACACTTTGAAAAAATAATTGTGAGTGAATTTTAGGCCCAAATAAGAAGTTTGATATATTTTATTTATCCTTCCTTAGACATGGTAGAGACAAAGTATATGATAATAGAAACCATTTCCTACTTTTTCCTGAATATAACCTTTATAAATTTCCACGGAAAAGATCACGGGTCATTTCCTCCTGTAATATCAAAAATAACTACCACCTTTTTTCTTAATGGCTTGGGCCTTCATCGGTTCAGATAACAGATACATTCAGAACAAGGAGGAAAATGGTTGTGTTTATGTAGGTTCGTCTACTCAAAGATACAAACTTTTTTCCCCCAAACTCACCCCTGTTCTTTCCTACTTGTCAGGCAGGTGGAGGTTACGTCCTCACCTCTGACCAGAAGGGAGGTTAACCTCGCGGTGCTACTCTTTTAATTATTTAAGTCGCGGCGATAATAATCTCCGTCCTGAAAGGGATGGATGACTTGGGTGACGGTTCGTAAAGTCTTGTATTACAGGGCGCCTGTGGAAGAGCTCCTGCCTTTACCGATGTTGTTGTTGGGCCTCCCCTTGTTTGTTTAGAATTTTTACCCCTCTGACCCTGCTGTCGGCTCCTCAGTGTGCAAGCAGCACGCACAGTTGTGGTGGTGAGGGGACGGTGACTCTGGGGCCCCCTGCAGGGGGTGGGGGTGGACATTTTCAGTCCATTATGCAGACGTCGCTGTTCAGATTCTCAGGAACAGAGAGAGAGCTTTGTTCTCATCAGCCCCGGGACCCCAGTCGTGGGAGCTGGGCAGCGGGGCCAGAGCAGAAGGCGTAGCCGCCGCAGCCCGTGTGGATCCCAGCGTTTCTGGATCGGTTGCTGTGATGACTGTTCCCTGCACTCGTGGGCAGAAACAGACTATTCCCCGGCTGTGAAGGGGGGTAATAGTGACGGCTGTCTGAGAGGTCGCACGTGTGAGTCCCTCAGCCTTGCACACAGTGAGAACTCAGTGCCAGCCGTCATCACGGACATCGCCAAAATTCCGGTGCTGGAGCCACGAGAAAGGAGAGATTATGATCCATTACTGCTCTCAGCGTTGATACAGGTTCCTAGGGAGACCTCACTGTGAAGGGACCTCAGTGCCCTCCCGCCACTCTGCGGTGACAGCCCGTGAGCTTTGACATAGGTGCCGGCGCTAGGGACCCTCCGTGCCACGCACAGCCCTCACTCCCTGTGCACCAGCGGCACTGGGCGTGGTTCCGAAACCGCACCGGGAAAGATGTTTTTTCAGGGTCTCAGAACCTAATCTCACTTGTGGAAGAAAGCGTGCCGTTTTATTTCAGTATCTATATATGTTTTCATTGAACATGTACTTGATGAGCTATCCCTAAGTGCTTAATTCTAAGACTGAAGAATAGTTTGGAGATTTTACTGCTTTTATGTAAGAAAACCTTTTAAGAGAACGTTGTAGCTGAATCTCTCTGGTTGACTGTTATTCCCACTTAACCTCACCGAGCGCTGGGCAGGACTGGAGCTTGTGAGCCAGTTTCTGCTGTAAAAGAAGCTTTTATTTGTGTGGGTGTTTGTTTTGTTTCCCGAACTCCCCAAACAGGAACACACCTGGGTGTGATCTGTACATACCTCACATAAACTAATCTACATACTCGCCTTTCCTGGTCTTGGTTTTCTTTCTAAAGAAAAGCTTCCAGAAAAGGGGTTAGCAATGCTTTATTTGCCACTGTATATACTTTGCCTCGACGTGTCTTATACTTTGCTCAGGTGATTGATTACAAGCTCCCGTTCTTATTAACGAAAACCAGAATTCGATCGGAGGGTGGCCGCGGCGCGCTCCCTGCGTGGTTTCATCTCCTTCTCCTTTCGGTTACCCAGGTGCCGGCGGAGGGAGGCCCGGAGCAGCAGGCCGACTCCACCAAAGGGAGATGCCTGAGGAGGACCGTCAGCGTCCCTTCCGAGGGCCAGTTTCCCGAGTACCCGCCAGAGGGCGCCGCTAAACTGGGTAAGCTACTGGGAGGAAAGACATTCCTGGCTCTTATCTGGTGGTAATTAATGGGCTTGTTTTTGAGTGTTACCATAAAACAAAACATCCTGCATTTCCCGTTAAGGAAGCATAATATGTTATCCAGGAGCTAGAGGTCACTAGAAAGTTCTATCCTTTACAGCCAAGTGGCAGCAGAGTGAGTTGACAGAGATACAGTTTATCTAAGCACCGTGAGCTGGCTGTGTGCGGTCCTGGACACGCTGGGGGGTGTGTTGTTTCCGAGCTTGCTGCTTGGCTTTAAGTCCGGAAAGCCCATTAGGTGATCTTGTCGAAGTTCTGAGGTTCACCGGGGGGCGCAGCGTGGTGTGGGCGCTTAGTACTGAGTGGTTTGCGTCCTGGTCACGTAGGCGCTGCTTCTGCCTCGTGCAGTGTACCCTTAGATCAGGCTTCTTTGGCTGAGCTGATTTGATAGATCCCATGCAAGTTGTATTCGGGACTATGGTTAGAGTGGGTGACGGAAGAGAGAAATTTAAAAGAAAAAAACCCACCGAGTTGTTATACATTGAAGGAATTAGTGTCAGCATCGAAGCAGCGCTTTCCCTGTTTCCTGCCAGACGTATTCTGTTTCATGGTTTGCATGCTTCCCAGTGGATAGACAGGTAATTAGACAGGTCTGGTAATTTTAAGGAAGCATAATTAACATTAAATAAAATAATGAAAGGTTTTGCAATATAGGAAGTGTTTTGTATTGTTGTATCACTGATTCTAGACATGGAGGCATAGACATTTGCTAGTAGATAAAACAACCATTTACTGTTTGTATGTTGGTTAATAAGGATAATTCTGGGATTTTGCTTGTGTTTTTGAATGGTAGGTTTTGGTCTCTTCATTTTTGCCTTTTTCTTCATTTCTCTTCATATTTTAAATGGAACTCAGAAATCTTAGTCAGAATTTGAATCCTTTCTTCCTGTTTTTGTCCAGGAACATTTGTCAGTTTTCTAGGATTTAGTCAGGTTAGCAAACGCTTTTCTCCAAGGAGTCACGTTTGGAGAGACAAAACTCTCCTCTCATTTTGTCTCCCTTGTGCTTCTCTGGCGTGTGTTGAACCCAGCGTGGGTGTCGGTGTGAACGGCGCTGCGGACCTGTCTGGGTGTGACCGTCGCGTTTGCGGCTCACGTACGAGCCCCGTGTGAATGAGGCTGGGTCAGGGCCACCTTCTTGCCGCTCCGTTGGTGTCACTGTTTACAGTGTTAGGCCGATGACCGTCTCGTCACTTCCCTAAGAACCTTTGACAAGCTTTGACCCACGCCAGAAGTGCATTCAGAGTCTGAAGAGTGGTCATGATTTCATAAAAGAGAGAACTGTATCGGAAATTGTTAAACACCTCCAACAGCCCAGGCACTGGTCCCAAAGACAGAGCGAGATGAGGCGGCCTGGGCGCCAGCCCCGCTCCCGTCCCGGCCAGCAGGCCTCGGCTCACGGCAGTCCGAGGTCGTTTTGGAGTGGGCGTCCTAAATTAGCATGGAAAGCTCTTGCTCATAAATATTCGAGGGGAAAGACTACTGCTTGAGCCATTTTTTCTTACATGCCAGTCTAATGTGGACTTAGATCGTGGTTCTGTTGTTCTGTTTTTGTCTCCTGGTGCTTCGTCTCTAAGCAGAACTTCCTGCTGTCAGATACTGAGTTGAGTAATTGCTGGGTTATGTTATATTTTTCGTCAGTCCCTAGAACGAAAAGGCCTGCGAGATAGCACCTCCGCCTTTAGAAGAGTCTTGTGTTAATTAGGAAGGCAGAGTACTGATGGCTATCCATGGTACGTGTTATTATTGTGGTATCTCGTGTGGCTTTTATTGATTTTTAATTATAAACAAACCCCTTTGTGTATGCGGCAAACGGTTACTGAGTGACAGCCGTGTGCCACAAACTGTTCTAGGCACTCGAGATACAACGTGAACAAACAGACGAAACTCTCTCCCCTTGCGAAGCTTGCATTCTATCGAGCAATGACAGACAATAAGCAAGGGTAATAAGTAAAATGTATGCTGTGCTAGATGGTGGTAAGTACAAAGAAAAAATAAGCAGGGAATGGAAATAGAAAGTGTCAAGGAAGTGTAATTTTAGCTAGGGTGACCGAAGAATGCCCCACTGTTAAGTGACATTTGAGTAACAATCTGATGACAGTACGAGAGTCAGGCATGCGGCTGCCTGGGCGTGAGGGTCTCCGCCCCCGGGAACAGCTGGGGTGGAGGGGGGTGTGCCCGGACTGGCTCAGGAGCAGCAGAGACGCTGGTGGGGCTGGCGTGGAGTGCACAGGGGAGAGTGACAGCAGGTGACGTCACCCAGCAGGTCTCGAAGGCCTTGTGTGTCATCGGAGGGGCTGTGGCTTTTACCCTGCGAGGTGGGGAAGCCTCTGGCTTCTGGACTGAGGGCGAGGATGCAAGTGTCGGGGCTCCGAGGCCGACTGGAGTGCTGTCACGACGGTCCAGACGGGAGGGGACAGACCCCGGCCACCGTGGTGCGGTGCGGGAGGCTGAGGAGTGACTGGGCTCTGGGTGCACTCGAAGGCAGAGCCCACAGAACTTGCTCACCGGATCCGGTGTGGGAAGTGAGAAACAGAAAATGGGGAATTTTGGCCGGAGCAGCGAGAAGAACGCGGTTGTTATTTTTAAGTGGGGAGAGACTGTGGGAGAAGCAGGTGGGAAAGGGGGATTAGCCAGGAGCTCAGCTCTGGGCGTGTTAAGTTTGAGGCTCTAGGAGACAACCAGGTGGGGATATGCGGGCCTGGAAGTGAAGGGAGAGGCACAGCCCGGAAGCAGGTCAGGTGCAGGGTTTCAGCAGAGATGGTGTTTGAAGAAGCCGTGGGTGGGGTTGGACGAATCACCAGGGAACTGTGTGCAGGTCGGAGCGAGAGGTCCGAGACTGAGCCCCGGCACGGCGAGAGGGTAGGAGGACACGGAAGCACCAGCAGGCGATGGGCCAGAGAAGAAGGAGGAGAATTCCAGAAGTCTGTTTCCAAATAAGGAAGCCGAGTCCCGTGTGCGTGGGTGGGGGGGGGGGCGTGTGTGTCCGTGTGGTGGTCACACTTCCCAGCCTCCGGGTTCCCTTCGTTCTTCCCCAGGACGGGCACCGACTGGAGGGCCCGGCAGGCTGTGCCGATGCACACCCGCGGCATCCGCGTTGGTGTCAGGTGTGACGCACTCAGCTGCGAGGAGACGCCCACTCACGAAAGACGGGCCCCTCTCGCTGTGCCTCAGAGAAGCCGTGGCAGGGAGGAGCTCTAGGAGTGCACGGGATCCCTGAAGAACTTGCGTGCACAGAGATCACAAACTGGCGAAAAAACTTCTGAATGTAAAAAAGATAGAAATGCCCATATTTGGGGGTCACACATTGTTCAAACAGAAATTAAGGCATTTCACAGTACCTACAAGCAAATTCACAAGGAGGAGAAACCTGGCAAAGGCCAGGAATTTAGAGAAAGAGAGAGAGAGTCACAGAGAGAACGCCCTCCCCGAGGTTCTCGGGCTCCTGCGCTCAGCAGCCCACAGGCTCCCCGGGGTGCCAGAACTGGGGTTTACGCCGGCATCTGGCACGGATTTTGTGTCTCCAGTTTTTCCCCACTGAAAATGAGGGGGTTTTTTGTAAGGCATATGAACACCATCTCTAAACCACCCATTTCCAGATTTGGGAAACCTAGAAAAAACTATTTTGCCTTGGTGACAATACCCAGATTTTAATTTAGCCATCAGAAAATGAAAATTTTTTGCCCTGGCTGGTGTAGCTCAGTGGATTGAGTACCAGCCTGTGAACCATAGGGTCGCCAGTTCGATTCCCAGTCAGGGCATGTGCCTGGGTTGCAGGCCAGGTTCCCAGTAGGGGATGCATGAGAGGCAACCACACATTGATGTTCCTCTCTCTCTCTTTCTCCTTCCCTTCCCCTCTCTAAAAATAAGTAAATAGAATCTGTAAAAAATTAATTAAAATAATTTTAAAAATAAATAAAAACTTTTCAAATTTAAACCATGCAAAGCTTGATTTGCTGGGTTTTCAAAAGGAAGTTATTTTTTCAGGTTGTTGGGTCCTTGAATGGAATCAATAACAGGAGGTGTATAAATTGACCACATAAACTAGAACTAGTAAATATTCATTTTCAGTGGAAATGTAACCTATATGAATTCAACTTAAAAAAAAGAAGCTTCCAAATACCTTAGGAGAAAGAGGAAAGCTGAACAGTGGACAACATTTTTGTGAAGAATACACTTATATACATTGTAGTATGCCTTTGACACGTGCTAGCAAGTCCTGGGAAAGAATATGTTAGAAGTCCTTTAGAGTCAAAGTTAGCCACCCAAAGTAGTCATGTTTATATGTAAATTAAGAAGTCAACCAAATTTAAAATACCACCACCAAAAAAAAATTAAAAAAGGGAAACCAAACGGAAAAACCGAGGGAAGGGCAACCTTGTAGCTCTGGTTTTCCTACGTTTATTGATCTAAGTGGTAAAAATTTGAGGAAACTTTGAAGAAAATAAATATTAAAGCAGAATATTTTCTCCAAGGCATTCCTGGAACTATTATAAAGGATAATATTTATAGGCCACAATTTTAGAGGATATTCATTATTTTGTTGAGTTTATTTCTTTTTTGCTCAATCCCTCCCTCACCCCTTTATCCAGCACCCTCCCCACCGCCACCCCCCACCCCTGGCAAAGAAGACCCTGACTCATCTCACTAGAGGCTTTTAGTTGGGTAGTTTCGAGATTTCTTTAAAAACCGTAAGCCAGTATATAGTCAGTCTTCGGAACCTGTGACATCCTACAGGACACGCGTGGTGACGGCAATGGCAGTGGTCCGCCAGGAAGGGGTGGCGTCCGGGCTGACCCAGCCACGCGCGGCCCGTTTTGCCGTAACACGACGTGGGCTCCTGCAGACCCCCACGCTGCGCAGAACCGCACAGTGAAGACCACGGGGCTCCTCGGGGGAGGGATTGGGGCGCTGCACTCGACACCTGGGTCGATGTAC